TGTGTTCCACCACTGAGCTAGGGGGAAGACACAGGCTTAATAGCGCGAGCAGATAAGAGGGTGTGATAGCAGGGACTAGTTCGGCCTCGACGGAACTAACGCACTATAAACCCACTTGCCGGTGACGCGTATGCATGGGGCCGGGCTAGCTCTCTTGTAAAGTAAAGAAAGCTAGCCGCGGTTGGCACAGCTGTCAGCGGCTCGTCCCCCATTCAGCGCTCGTAGGCGGTGAGAGGGGGAGGCGGCGTAACGCTTCGAGTCGAGCCCGCAGGGTCGACAACAGAAGCCCATTCGCAGAGGAAACATCCGCCGTCGGCGAGAGAAAGCTCTGCGTGTTCCAGTCCCAGGCAGAGAGCGCAGAAGAAGGCGGGCTCTGGCGCTGAGAGGGACGCGGCATGAGCCGCAGGTGTGCGAGGCATCTTAAAAAAGACGCTCGCTGCTCTTTTGTGAAGGTACACAAACAAAATACAATTGTAAAGGATACGTCGTCGGATGGCGCTAGCTTGCAGGACGGCTGAAGGTGGCGAAGACGGCCGGCTTCCTCAGTCTCCCAGATGCTCGCTAGAAGGTGCCTTTTCAACGACGGCGGCTTCTCTCAGGATCAGCAGATGCGTGTAGCCTCGCTGAAGAGATGAAAATCAGAGTTTACAGCCTAGGACGCCAGTAATATACTCTCTGACCACGCCCGTTTCGGCGGGCTCTGACGTAATGAGAGCATGTCAGACTCTCATTGGCCGAGAGTTCATTCGCGTCTCCTCATAGGCTTAAGCAGTTCTCTGTGAGCGAACCAATGAGCTGCTAGCTAGCCCGCTCATGGTCTGCTGCAGCTGAACTGCGTTGACAATTCAATTCAATTTCTCAGAAAAGATGAATCTTTCCCGTAGCGTAAGCTAGCTTACGCAATACGAGAGAACCTCTCGTAAGAGAACTGGAAGTGTACACGAACACAAACAAGTTACAAAAATGATACGCTGTCATCATATAAAGCACTGATTAAATCAATGCGTACAGTAACTTCCAGTGAACACAGATGCATTCAGATTCCTTTAGCGTTTCTAATTTCCAATACGAGCCAGAGAGGTTCAGAAGTGATGACGATTGAGTGAGCCACCATCAGTGCAGCTGTGTGAGGCATGGCAAGATATTTTAGAAATGGCCAACTCTGTTGAAGATGGAAATGGACCTTTGTGTGTGTGTGTGTGTGTGTGTGTGTGTGAGAGAGAGAGAGTGTTAGGGATGTTCTATAGTGTCATGTCTTCATTTGTTCATGTGTTTGTGGCAGATGTTTTTATTATATATTTGTTACTATTTTTATTACAACCACAACAACTCCTTGAATATAGTAAAAATTTGTGTGTATTCCCATTTTAAGTGTGAACATTTGAAGCAAGCTCTTTGACCACTCAGATGAACACCTGCTTTTTTAAAATTTTGAAATGATCCAAGGAGAGGAGTAGTTGACTCAAAAATTCTGTTATAATTTACTCACACTCATGTTTACTCTGTGGAACACAAAAAATATATACATTTTGATTTTGAAGAATGTTTCAGCTATTTTTTCCATATACATCAAGAGTCATTGGAACACAAAACATTCAAAATGTAGGCCTAAGCCTTTATTCATTATCGTAAATGTATAACCAGACTACATCAAATATGATTATGCAAACCACAAACGCCAACTGACATCAAACCTTATTTGATATTGCCAGTTAGATCTGCACCAAACCATAAAAAACCCCAGCTCGGACCATATTGGTCTTTTCAGCAGGGAAATGGCATAATTATTGATTTTACATCAGTGATCCAGACTGTCTGGACTGATATTTTAGGCTGACATTCATAGTAGTCGAAAGTGGGACTTTTACAGACAGTTCAATAATGTGTAATTAGAGAACGAGGCGACTTTTCTTAGAAATTTTAAAGTGCCTTTTAGACACTGAAATGTAAGATTCCTACAGGTCATTATCCTGTCTAAATGAAAGCCAATGTTTGGGGGCAAATTTGTTTACATTTGAAATCAGATTTTTTTAACTAGATGCTGCGTTTATACACGTCATATTTGAAGTGTACTGTAAGTACTTTGCATTTCTCGATTTTCCAAAAATACCAGGCGTTGCTTTGACAACAGCGGCTCCCTCAAATTAAGCGGCAATCAAGTCGGATTAACGAGAACGAAATGCTGTTACCCTTCTCGTTTGCTCTGTGCTCACTCTGTGCCTGCTTGATACTGTGGAGAGTTGGAATTCTGTGTGTGTGTGTGTGTGTGTGTGTGTGTGTGTTGAGAGGTGGCAGGTTGTTCAGGGCTCACTGACAGCGAAATAGTCCCCTCCCAAACCACCTACAGACCCTTTTGCCAATGAATGGATAAAGCATGAATCATACTTACAGAGAACATTTTCTCCTTTCTGTTTTCTTGAAGCTTTAAAAATAGCCTAAATTGATCTGTGAATCATCCGACTATGCTTGACTGAGTGTTTTTTCCTGACCAGTGTGGTGTAATGGGGCAATTGCTGAGACATTACACAGTTGGCATTGCTCTGCATGTGGCGAGAGGATGGCGTCATAAAGCCACAGGAGGCTATACAGACCAATGACCCTCTGCGAGATACTTGTGTGAGCATGTGGCAGAAAATATTTTTGACTGTTTTTTTGGTTGTGTACAAAATCTTTCTCTGGTACACATAAATGCTGGCCTTAAATGAGAAGTCTGGGTTTCTCCAATAATTTAGTCTTTAAACACCATCCCAGCAAGCTTGCATTCACTCCATCCAATCTACAACCAATGATTTTGATCTTTTTTTAATAATCCACATTTTTTTCACTTGGATATATGTCACAGTACAGAACAAATGATCCGCTACATCCGTTACATTGGGACTTTAAGAGATTGAGGAGTCTGCTGCAGTGGCAGTAAGTTTTAATAGACCGAAATACTACCTAATGTATATGCACAGAGGTGGTGGAAAAAAACTCCAGATTAAATCAGCCTAAAGCCCACTTTTATCATACAAATTTCTATGTAATGTGTATATTTCTATGTTAACATGACTGAAAATCCTACGTCTTCACGTGATACGAATTTGCAAGTCAGCGTTCAACAAACTTTGGAGCACAGTGAAATTTGCTCGAGCTTGTGTTTCCTGTCTCCTGCATTCGCATGCATATGAATGAAAGTCAATGGGATGAGTGTTGTACGACTGTCCCTTGAGATTTTGGTTTTCCTGCTTGTCTTAGCAGTCTGTTGGCTTGTTTTAGAGGCACTTTACAGTTGGTCTGGCAGGGAAACCAGCTGCAGTCTTGACTATTTCATCCATTGTTTAAGGCTGTTTATTAGTTGTCTGGAACTGATTTTAATAATGAGTTATCAGGGTCTGGAGCCAAAATTGGTATTAGTCCAAACCAAAACAGGGTATGCAAACAGACCCATATGGCCTTCCGCTTGTCCTGCTCTCATGTTAGTAGAGTCTTCTTTCCTACAAGAAGGAAGTTCCTACCACTTATCATTAGGAAAGGGAGAGAAAAATTGACAAACTGAGTAAGAGAGAGGCTGATGAGAGAGTTTGGTAACTTATGACTTATACCACACTGAATCTCCATTAGAATTTTCCCAGCGCCTCTTTACATTCACGTCACATCACAGCATGAGTTCACATTCTGTGATAAACTAAGCTGCACTAACATTCTACTTGGGTGAACTTGACATTAGTGGTTATAAATGTAATGCAGCGTTTGAGTGTGACAGGCAGCTGCACAGGTGAAAATTACAGCTTGATCGGAAGGTGTGAATTTATGAGAGCTAAATAATTCAAAGTGCAGGTCTGTTGTGCCCTGAAATGCAGCTCACCAGTCCTGCACAGATTATCTAAAAAAAATCTTGAAAAGGGAAATAAAAAGTTCTATTCTTTTCCATTTTTTTCCCACTGCAAAATAATCATATTCTTTGTTAGTTTGTCTTGTTTTCCATTTTAAAATATATAAACATCCTTAAACTAAGATACATTACTTAAACAAAACTGACTGCTTTTTAAAAAAATTTGAAAGAAGTCGCTTATGCCCAAGGCAGCATTTATTTGAACAAAATACAGTAAGAACAGCAATAATGTGAAATATTATTACAATTATATATATATATATATATATATGTATATATATATTTATTATTATTATTTTATTCCTGTGATGACAAAGCTGTATTTTCAGCTTCATTACTCCAGGCTTCAGTGTCACATGATCCTTCAGAAATATTTTCAGTTTGCTGATTTGTTGCTCAATCAATTTTGAAGTGCTGCTGAATATTTTTGTGGAAAGTGTAATACGTTTTTGTTTCAGGATTCTTTGATGAATAGAATGTTCAAAAGAACAAAGAGCATTTGAAATAGAAGTATTTTTGTAACATTATAAATGTTTTGACTGTCAGTTTTGATCAGTTTAATGCATCCTTGCTGAATTAAAATATTAGTTTCTTTCAATAATAAAAAAAACAACAACAACTAACTGACCCCAAAATTTTTAACCATTTTGTATAATAAAAGTAGGCATACGTGACACAATTTTGTGTAAATATATATATAAAATAAATAAGGAAAATATAACGGAATAATATTTTTTTGCTCCTTGAAGACAAGGTTCGACCAGCAGGTCATAGTAGACAGGAGACATTAGTCTTATACCTGTAGTTTTGTGAAGGTTTCATTCTTGTTTAATGTCACTCTCAAGTCACTGCGGGGTTCAGGAAGCTGACAGATCTAGCCATAAATGATTTCTAACAGTCAGAAAGAGAACAGACTTCAGAGATCTCCTGAGGCTGAAGCAGGAGGCAGATTACAAAGACATGAGCCTATTTTGTTAGTGTGCAGATCAGTCAGGTGCTGTGCTCACACACTGTTTATCAGTCTTCTCTTTCTTGCCCACTTTTCATGAGTGCCTTGATACCATAACATATAAGAGATATCAAAGACAACGTATGAAAATATAATGTTTTGTTTTTCCTCTTCCAGGTACAAGGGCTTCATAAAAGACTGCCCGAGTGGTCAGCTTGATGCTGCAGGTTTCCAGAAGATCTACAAACAGTTCTTCCCCTTTGGCGACCCCACCAAGTTCGCCTCATTTGTCTTCAATGTTTTTGATGAGAACAAGGTGAAGTGCACATCACTGTTAGGTCTTGCACAACAGATTTTTCTATAGGGTTGGAGACATTCTTTCTTTATCTCTTTTTCTTTCTCTGTCTTTTTCTTATGTCCCGTTCACACATACAGTGATTTTATTGCTGAAGGTCACAGGTTCATTGTTTTTTTCGTTACTAGTACATGTTCCTGCTGATGGATGCCCTAATGAACTACATAACTGAGCAAAGTTATTTAAACAAATCTGATCACAAATTAGATATATTGCCAACAATAAAAAATAATAATAATGATAAATATGTAAATAAAAGAGAAATGTAATTTAAACAGTAGATAAAAAACATTTTCTTGCTGATAAAAATGAACATTCTGGATGGAAAAGCATTTGTGTGCACTTCACAGCAGTAAAGCACCATATTATGAACATAATGAACAATTATTAATGACGTCAGATCACTATGTTGCTGCATGAATGCCTTTTTTTTACAGACTTTCATACACACATAGGAATACATTCACAGTTCCAGCAATGATCAAAAGACTGACATGAGTCGACCATGTGAAGAAGACAAGAAAAATCTAAAAGTGGTTTATGACTGGATGGTGCTTGTGAGAGTAAACCATCTCTCTGCTCAGATGTTAGTGTAATTTTTGGTGTGTTTCTGTGTATGAGCTAGGAAAAAAGATATGTGTTAAGTGTGAGATAGGTGTACGTTTATGTAAAAATTAAACTGGTGCTCTGTTTCAAAACCTAGTGCATCATAGAAGCTCTCGACACGAATGCTGCCCCAAAATGTAGGCAACTTTAACGCTGCTTTCTAGATACCCGATTTTAAACTAATTCTGCAAATGAAATAAGAGAAATGTTTTTTATAAACATACTCATAATTAATGTATTAATATATAAATATTGTTTAAAATATTGAATACTATAATAAAATCATAATTAATTAATAATTTGAATTATTATTATTAATATTAAATAATAATATAATATAAAATTAATATTTAAAGGAGCTGTATGTAAGATTGTGGCCAAAACTGGTACTGCAATCACTTTCAAATTACTGTAGAGCGGTGTATCCCCTCCCCCTCCCCCCTGACTCGAGGTTGCCAGATAGGCTGCAGGATCCAGCAGGAACGTAGGCTGCTACAAGGAGCTTTCAACTAGAGCAGAGCTGGCAACCCGGATGCCGAAACACTACTGACATCGTGATTGGTAGACAGGTGGAGGGTGGGGCTTCAGACCAAAACACAAGATGACAACATCAACATCAGTTGAGGGCTGCAACTTCACTTTTTAAATGACAATATCGTGGCCGTACGACTGTTGTCAGTGATATAAGAATTTGAAATGAACATGATTCCTTAATGTCTAGAGACACATCAGGGCCATTTTATGATTAATTGAAATACATTTCTTACATACAGCTCCTTTAAATGTTTTGCTTATTTTTATGTGTATAATTATAGGTTTCACATCATTCCTGTTGCCTCACTATTGCAATAATCAGTTGCAATAATGCTCTAATGCAGAGCAGTATTTGCAGTGGATGTCTATGTAGAGTGTTCTACATCAGTCACTTATTAGGTTCCTTGACTGTTATATGCTGTCTAAGTAGGCAGCAGACAGCGAGAGACAACAGGCTTTGCAACAGAGCACGTATGAATATGGATGGGAGGTGAAAGGTTAATTATTCCCACTCTCTTGGGAATTGTGCTTGGTTCCCATTATAAATTATTTATTAAATAGCCTCATTTTGCTATCTGTGCAATCTGTAATGTGATTAGAAGCCAGTTAGCCCAACCAGATAAGAGTCGTCTGGCAGCAAAACCACTTTCAGAGATCACACACACAGTCAAACAAGTCCTTAAAGTTTATTTATAGGTTTTGAAATGTACCGCTGTTGTTAGTGAGACACATTAGCCCTGGCCTTTGCTCTTTTCTAGTAATCTGCACTATTCTGCAATGCATTTCACCTCAGGTTCACTTTTCAGCCACCGGCTCATTGTCAGTGTTGTGGAGATGGCTTCAGTCTGAGCTTGTTAAGAGTTCCAGTAATGTCTTACAGAACAGACTCGGTAGTCTGACTGTAGAACAGAGGTCAAAGAGGCAAAACCCAGACATCACAATTTTTGCTTTCTGCAAATTAGTGCTCCAACAGTTTGACAACAGCTTGAGTTTTGTATTTTGAGTGTGTGTTTCTACAAGTTACCAATCTTATTCTATGATATTACATTTACGTTATCCTTTTTAAAATGTTATTATGTTACAGCTGTACGATGTAAAAATGTAGAAATAGAAAATAATTCATGTCTATTTGTTTAACTTATCAGCTTGACATGATAAATACTTCTGAAGTAGCAGCTCTCTTGTCCCAATTATTTAATTGCTTACACTATCATTCAAAAGTTTGGGTAAGAATGTTTTTTAAGTAATTATTATTACTTTTATTCTGCAAGGATGGATTACATTTATTAAAAGTGACTGTAAAGATGTTGATAATGTAGATTTCTCTTTCAAATTTTATAACTTTCTATTCATCAAAGAATCCTGAAAAATGTATCATGGTTTCCACAAAAATATTAAACAGCACAATTGTTTTTAACATTGATAAGAATCAGGATCTGATCTATAATCTGAGGAAAGCTAACTCCCCCCAATCCACTTTATATCAATGAAAGATAAAACACAGGGAAAAATATAAGACAATTTCACACTTTTGAGAGCCCTCCAAAACAAATCATGCCCTGGTCAAATATCTCAAATAAATTACTATAAGTATTTGTGATGTTTGCAAATTGTGTAGTTTCAGCCTTTACCAGCAGGGGCTGATGGGGCCACAATGATGAGCCAAACCTCAACACCTTGTATATTGCTGGAACAATAAACTTGACTTGATCCCAACTTTGTGCAGTTTCAAGGAAACACTAAACCATTATGACCATATAACATTTCAGGCAGATCATATAAAATGCAAGTCTGTACTACGGATATAAGTAATAATGTTTTATGTTGTGGTATACAACTCAGAGCACAATGAAAGCCATCATTTAAAGTGAGATAAAAGATGGAATAAATGGCTTTCCTCCAAAACGTAGTGCTCGGAATAGTGGAAGCATTGTAGGACATTAACTATTGTTATTGTTCTCCCTGAAAGACTGCATGAGACAATGGAAGCAAATACAGTTCACAAATGGAAGGGGGGCAAGAGAGTCGAGTCACCTAGAGTTTGCCCGAGGCGTATAGGAAATGCAGCAATTATGTTTAATGAGATTCTGTGGTCTGGTGAGACAAAAACTGAACTTTTGGCCCTCAAGGCTGTATTTGACTGAAACTTAACACTGCATGTTAGATTCAGCTCTATAGCAGGGACTGGAAAACTCATAAGGTAGAAGTGAAAAATGTATTGAGGTAATACAGAGGAATTCAGTAAGCTTCATATTCCAGCAGAGAGACAGAACATTAGCCACACTGTAGTGAGTTACATAACATAATGATAGCAATTTCAAAATTAATTTATACTCTATTATTATTATTATATTTTTTACAATTATTTTCTCTTAATTTTCTCTTTTGTGTATTCTCTATTATTGTTTATCTTGGCATACAAAGTTTTCTTTTTAATGTTTAATTCCCAAATAAAAGTAAAGTAAGATGGAGGACGGTTGATGCATGTTATCAAGTTGAAATCTTGTTTATAACTGGTTCTTATTAGATAAGGAATAGTTAAGGCCCCACTATACTTCAAGCAAAATCGAAGAACGAACTGATGTGACGTCATTTCGAACAAAATCAGGCCAAATCGAACTTTGTTTGGAGAAACTGTTTAGTCCGTCGGGGTGAGACGTCTGCCAGTGAAAACATGAACACACTGAGAGCTGCTTTATAGTAGAAAACGAAGTTGTGCTTCTGATGAAATGAGACACTGACACAGTCTGAAATAATATATTGCAAAAATAAATAAACAACTACAAATCGGGTATGTCGCCTGGGAGTGAAAGCTTACCAGTAGAGCAATGCTTTTATTTGACAATTTTATTCATAGGAATTAAATGCTGCCTGTCATTGTTAGTGCCTCTTCAGAGATTTCTTAAGCCCACTAGCTCGATCTGAAGTGAAGATGACAGAACACACAGTGCCTAGGCGTGAATCATAAAAATTCACACAATAAAGTAAGATTTGAACAAGCAAGTTGAGCGTTTTCCCCCCTTGAGGTTTTAAGAATTATTTTGGAAGATTTTAAACCTGTTTACTAAATAACATGAATCTGCATTCATTTACCTCTCTTGCACTAGACTAGATTGGTTTCAATAGACAAATCAGAAAATGTGTCATAACGTATCTGCTGGATATTTGGCAGCAGAATGCATCTTGTAATGGCTAGTGGTGCCAGCCTGTAGCCCCAAGGAAGAGCAGGGGGTGGAATAGGAATAGCAGTCCACTTGCCCATTTTAATCTGCCAATCAACAAAGGCTTCTGGGTAACACTTTACAATAAGGTTCTATACTTTAAAATTAGCTGTGCATTAGATATCATGAACAACCCACAAACAAGCATTTGTTCTTTAATTCTTCATTGTTAGTTAATAATGTATAATCTAATGTTAGTGCACTCAACATTTAGTGTTAAAGTGTATGGTAACAGTTTACAGTAGGTCCTATTAGTTAACTAATGAGCAATACATTTGTTACAATATTTATTCATCTTTGTTAACATTAACAATGAACAGTATTTTTTATTAACTAGTTCATGTTAGCTCAGGTTCATTAAATAATATTAACAGAAACTTTTGATTTTAATAAAGTATTAGTAAATGTTGGAATTAACATTAACTAAGATTAATAAATGCTTTAGAAGTATTGTTAATGGTTTGTTCATGTTAACTAATATAATTAATTTAGGTTAAATGGAACCTTATTGTAAAGTGTTACCAAATGTATTAGTGGCCTATTTTTAGAAATGAATTTCAACAAAGTTTAATAATATCGCATTGTGTTAAGTGTTACTGGGTTTTGGGCACCATGATGACAGGGCAATGAAATAGCCTATCTTTCTTTTTTTCCACAGGATGGACGGATTGAGTTCTCAGAGTTCATTCAGGCCCTGTCTGTGACCTCACGTGGGACCTTGGATGAAAAGCTCCGCTGTAAGCAAGTATTTGATTAATAAAAGCCCATTCAATCGATAATCATTCAACGACAGAAGCAGTGGAATACCTTTGTGAGATGTGTCATAAAACAGGAAGCAGTCTTAAAATACTAAATGAATAAAAATAATAATAATGAATAATGAATAAAAAATCCATGCACTTCATTTCATTAAATAAAATATTAAACCAAGTGGCTTTTCCAAACAAATGATGCTGGAGCTTTTTATTAGAAATTCTTTATCGTATATATATTTTTTACATTAGCCTATATCATATTGTCATGGTTATGTTATGTTTTTATTGTATTTTTGTTTATGTTCCTTTGTTTCCTTTCAGTTTAGTTCCCATTTCCATAGTTACTAAATTCTCCCTGTTTGTTACATAGGTTACTGATTAATCCCACCTGTGTCTTGTTTAGTTCTCTGTGAATAAGTATTCCCTTTTTTGTTCAGACCTCTGTCGGTTCTCGTCATGTTTTAGTGTGGTTAGCATGATTATTCTTTGTGTCATTTAAAGTATCTCATCATGCATCTCTTATCTACCACCACTTGTGACAGAAAAACTGACCCTCAAAATGAGTAAACTTGAAATGGACTGGTACTTACAGAACGGCTGCTCGTTTAAAGCTGCAGTCCGTAGTTTTTTGGGGTTAAAAATTATCCAAAATACATATTTGAGAAAATACATAACCAGCCAGTGTTCAAAACTATCTGCTTGCCTTAGCTCGATTCAAAGCGGTAAGCTTGGAATAATGTTTTTAATTCCAGTGGTACTGGTGGATTTCCGCGGGAGATTCGAGCATGTCTTTGCATCATTACGTCACATCTGTACACATAAAGAAGGAGTCTCGGCTAGTAGGCTACATTGCGTGTGAGGATGTTGGAGGTGGAGATTTAAAGCCTTTTCTCACAGCACTTGATATAATTAAACTTATTAATTTGATGGCGGATCCAGAAAGGTTCAAACGACAATCACCAGTGACAACTAGAGATTCACCCGCTGTAAAATGCAAAACACTTCGTTCGGACTTCGGAGTGGCTACAAGGATACATATCGGAAGGACATTGCATGTAGTCACGCAATGCTTGCTTACGTTGTTAACATTAACAATTTGAGAACAAATTATAATTTGCACGGTTTTGCGTGATATGATAACTTATAAGCGATTGTTAGATTTAATCAGCGCGATTTACTGCAATGTCAGAACCAGAACAAAAGTGGATGTTTCTTACTTGTTCAGATGACATTTTCCGGTGAAAATTCTTATGTTGGTCATACTTCCAAAAAGAATAATCTGTGATTCTGAATGCCAGTATCCACATCGGAGCGGTGACTGACAGCCTCACAGTCTCCTCAAACGTTGTGTTCATCCGTGCTGTGCCGTGTCGAGGGTGTTGAAGTACAACTCACGTAAAGTTGATAATTCCGCGAATGACTGCAATTGCAGATTTTGAACAGAGGTGGCGACAAAGAGGAAAAACGCCAGACTGCAGCTTTAAGGAGTATGTGGACGAGTTCCTGGAACACTATCACGATGCATGCTGGGATGATGAGACTTTGAAACAGCTCTTCTGGAACAGAATGGATGGCATCATCTGGCAGATGCTGCTGTTGAGGGAGGATCATCTTCCTTTCATCGAGTTCATCGATTATGTCTTGTGGGTTGTGGATATTCCCTCACCCTGGGAGTCATTGAGGAAGACACCACCATCAACTCCGACTTTCTAGGACTTTCAACACCTCCAGCAGCCATCTTTCTACCCACTCCATAAAGGACACATAGTCCCAGCAACAGATCTCCCACGATGTTCCCAGATTCCCTTGACTTACCTGCCCCGCTGGTGCCTCTCCTCGGCTACGCCCACGCCGTGCCGCCACGCCAGCTTGTCGGCTCCACCTCAGACTCCATCAACACCAGTGCGACGCTGTGAAGCAGATCCCCTGGCTTCACCTTGGACCTCCAGTCCCATTACTCCACCTCAGCCTGTCAGCCCTTAGTCTCTGCTTCGATTCTACACTCCTTCAGCTGCACCTCAGCCCTCCACCCCTTCGGCTCCACCGGGTTCCTCCTTCCCGCGGTTCCTGTTTAGTCCTCACTCTCTCCAGTGCCACCCCGTTCTGCCAGGCCCTCGCCTCGTTCCCTCAAGCCAGTGGCATTGCCTAGAACTTCTGGGCCTACAATGAACCGTCGCCCTCAAGGCTTTGCAGGGGTCTCGAAGGTCGTTAGCTCCGCCTCTGTTGATCTGCTCCAAAGCTCCTCCCAATAGGTCCGTCATGGCTCTGCATTGGCTTCTCCCTCCTTCATCTCCACCATGGGGTTTTCCACATTAAGCTCTTCCATTTCCATGCCCTTCACCAGTTCCTCGCCCATCTCCAAGAACCCCTCCCTCCCTCCACCCTTGTTAATGGCGCATGGACGTTGCAGTCATGCCATGTTTCATTGAGTCCCCTCACAGACGACTGCTGCACACATATAAAAGTCCAGGCCCAGGACAGAATGAGGCGAGAGAAAAGGAGACGGAAGTATGAGGAGCAACAGAGTTGAGAGACGGGAGAAAAAAAAAATCTTGGTCTGGTTCCCGGACACACTGGCGCTCGGTCCTCAACCAGTCAAGAGACTCACTCGCAGTGCCATGCGATGGTACTGGACGTTCCTCGGTGGACGGCTCGACACTCCTGGTGGCCGGCGATGGCTCCTCCGCTACAGTGGCCCGGGCAGCAAACTCACTCCCCGTTCCCTCGATCTGCTTGCTCCTCCCCATCATGGCAGACGGCAGCAGGCCTGGCCTCCGGAGAATGGCGACAACTTCTCCATCTCCTCACGGACGGCAGCCACCCCACCTAGACCCAGGAGCTCGGCAGTGAGCTCTCCATCGCACCTGTTCTTTAAACGCTCCAGCACCACCACCTCGGGCAGCCACTGACCTCCTCAGCACCTCGATCCCCCTCAGCAGCGAGGGCTCTCTCCGACAGCATCATCGCTCATCCTTTTATGCTCCCATAGTTCCTCCGTGAGACACGACTCTCGGCTCTCGGCCTTGTCCTGTTTGCCACACTAAGTTCTCCCAGTTTTTTGTCTTAACAATATATCTATTGTAAATACAAGGAATGCAAGAAGTGCTGCACGGGGTGTAACTTCTGTATCTCGGTGCTCTTTGGGTGTAGGGATGGTTTCACTCATAAGAAAAAACAATCCAAGGCTCTCGAATATTCGTTTTTAGAAAAATATAAAAAGCCTTTTTATATTTTATATACAAGCAACGGCACACCTACGCATTGCGGCCAATAAGCGTTCATCAGGGTGTGAGTAACAAACACAATCTGAGTTCTTTAAACAGCAATCAATTAGTCACACGATTAGGGTTGGGTACCGAAACTCGGTACCAATAGGGAACCGGTTCCGACGTAAACGGTAGTAACCAGACCGAATAAGAACGACAATTTCGGTGCCTGATTTCGGTGCCTGACTTAATTAGGCACACACGCGCACACACACACACACACACACACACACGCACAGTCTCTTCTGTCTCGCATGCACGCTCTTGCTCGCAAGGTTTGGCTGCATTTCACGTGTAAAATTACGCGTCAGAACGCCCTCTGGGTGTGCCGACAATCTGAATCCATATAGAATCAAGCCAATTCATTGGCTGATGGCGCGGGCGCCGCCTCGACGCACTTACGTCGTCATATTATGTTGGCGCGCGATCTGCTCCTCAGATTTCTTTGCCGAAAAAGGAAGCTGGTCGGCAGCGTAAGGAGCTTGGCAGCGTCTCGTTCCCTATTGAGAGAACATAGGTTACACCAGTAAGCAGAGATGTTCTCTTTCATAGGTTCACTCAACGCTGCGTAGCTAAGAAGCAGTGGATTTGTATAGGCTGCTGTATCACGTGCCGTTTGAACTGACGCGCTACAGCGATCTGTCACATTTCAAAGAGCCAAAACGTTATTTATTGTGTGAATCTCGTAAAAATATTGACAGAATCTGACAGCTGTAGATTTGTTCCATATCAAAAGTAACCTGTCTGTCGGTGTCAGTGTCCTCTTTGTCCGCGATTTTTCTCTGCGTGAGAAAATGCATGTGTGGCGTGCGTGAGAGCGTGTGAAAAGGTCAATTGCGCGAGTCTCACGGTCAATGCGTGAGAGTTGGCAGCTCTGCCTGCTAGTAATCTCTATTAATCTCCAGTATTATTACATTGTTTGATACAATATTGTTTTATTTGATATTATGTAAATGTGAATTTTTATTTTATATTGGTTTTATTATTATTTGTATTTATATTGTTTAAAGATTTAAGTTAATATTGTGTCCAGTTTGGCCCTGTAAATAAAAGGGTATTATTTTTTGATAAAGTGTGTGCGGTTTCGTTTTCTTAAGTACCGTTTCAAGAACCGTTTAGGCACCGGAACCGTTTAAAAAATACCGAGTAGGTACTGGTATCGGATAAAACCCAACCGATACCCAACCCTACACACGATGATCACCTGGTCATGCGGCACATGATAAGCAGAAGAGAGAAAGTTCAAATATTACAAAGAAAATATATCTCACCAATAACATGACTAAACCAAGCAATATATATATATATATAAAATTATATACATATACATACATATAAAAACCTACAAATACATTATCATAAATAACAATATATCAATTGTTTGGGAATAAAGCTCATTCTGATTGTTCAATAGATTCACGGCTAACAAACTTTGTATTGTGAAATGTTTAGCTTGAACAGTATGTTTGTTTGTTTTTTTTCAAATAAATGCCACTTGATTTGATGTTTTATTTCAAATACAGAGACATTAATACATTTTTGAGTGTGGTTTAAGTGTCTGAATACCTTTGTGGCCACACTTTTACACACTGGTTGGGTACTGCCCTCTTTCTCTGTTGACTCTTCACCCCAGGCATTGACCTGTGTTTGCACTCTGCATGAGTCGTAGGATTGTCTCTTTGCAGGACTCTTTGTTGTAGATGAGTGGAATGAAAAAGTGCTCTATGGGTGGGACGTCTCAGAGTCCTGGAGTGAAGAGAAAGCCATAGATGGCGAGATGAAAGAGTCGCTCCTCACTGCTGTAATTGCTATGCAATGATTTGGCTCATACAAAGCATGCCTTCATCACTCAATCCTGCATCCATTATTCATTGCAGTGCTGATAAGCTTACATGTCTGCACTCTGATAACATTGCTCTTTAATTCATAATCAAAACTCAAAAAGTCCAACAAGATGCCCGTTGGTGCTTTTTCAAGGTTTTCTATGTTGAACGAAATGTATTATGGCAAATTTAAACATGACCACTCTCGGTACAGTACACATCATGGTTTTTAATAATTTATTTTTTTTAGCATTAGAGGCACAAATTCTGAAGATTATTATTATACACATTATTTTAGATAACCTCTAAAATAAAATCAACATAGCATGAAAACACCTGTGCTTCACACACACACCAAACATCCTATCAGTGTTGTTTTAGTATTACGTATATACTATTATAGTATTTATTCATATTTTTTATTAACTTTTATTTTTACATTTTCAGTTTTCATTAAAATTTTAGTTAGTACTTTTTATGCTTTGCCATTTTCATTAGTTTTATAAATTTCTATTTAGCTTTCATTTGTTTTAATTCGGTTTTAAGTGATGTAATTTTAGTACTTAAACTTTTAAGTTTAAGCTCATTTAAGTTTTTCATCTAATATAATTTATTTCAGCTTTATTTTTTAAAATAGTTTTAACAATAACATCACTGGCTTCTTAAATTGGTGATTTTTATGTAAAGGTTAAATACCAACCATTTGTTGAAAAAGAAAAAAATGTGGATGAATGTATATTTGTACTATATTTACGAAAAGTGCTATAATATTTCTACACACACTCACCATGATTCTTGTTACACGCTTTAGGGGCCTTCAAGCTCTATGATCTTGATAACGATGGCTTTATCACACGTGATGAAATGCTCAATATCGTGGACGCCATCTATCAGATGGTGGTAAGTCACCATTTATTTCAGCTGTAATTACAATTGGATCATATGGCATTCGTTTAATGAGAAAAACATCTCTCAGATGTCTTATATATTATTTACATTTGTTTTAGGGAAACACAGTGGACCTTCCAGAAGAAGAAAACACGCCAGAAAAGAGGGTGGATCGCATTTTTGCCATGATGGATAAGGTAAGGATATGTTCATTTTAGTTTTGACCGCAATCACACTGATCCAGTTAATAATCCAAACCAAAAATGAATGTTATGCAGGGGACTGTTTATTATATTTAATTTATGGATTTGTTTAAAGAAATTACTTAAGCAGACTAACTGCTTAAAGGGATTGTCCAACCAAAAATAAAGTTATGTCATCATGTGCATCAAAACCTGTATGATTTCTTCCGAGGAACATAAAATATATTGTTGAATAAAATAAAGAATGTTGGTAACTAAACAATTTCGGTTGTAACTGACTTCCATTGGACAAAAAATACAATGAAAGTCAATGGAAACCAAAAGTGTTTGGTTATAAACGTTCTTCAAAATATTTTCTATTGTGTTCAGCAGAAGAAAGAAAGGCATAAAAGTTTGCAATGCCTTGAGGGTGAGTACATGATTACATAATTTTCATTTGTGGGTTGACTATCCCTTTAAGACTAAGGATTTGTATGCAGTCGAACACAACAGTTAGCAATCAATCATCACCAAACCCATCAAGAGAAATCGCTCATTTATAGCTCTGATTCAGTTTACTAACCGCATCCTCATCATTAATCCAGTGCAGGACAGATCAAGGATACAGTAGGGAATAAGAGCTCATTTCTGTGGTAAAGCTAGCGTCACTAACGCTGCCCTCGGGTCTATAAACGCCAGTGTGGCATGCGCTACCGCTATCATTGGAGCCTAGCATAAATGCCAGCTCAAGCCCACTTCAAACCCTGAAAGATGACATCAGGACTTGCTAGGGAATGTTCACAGAGATTGTGTGCTTTCACCATAGCAATCTCAGATCAGAATGAGTACGGTTACTCTCCGGAGTTAGATAATTGCTAATGCTTCTTCAAACAAGTACCACACTGAGCCACATAAGGTGAAAAAAGCGTTTCCATTGCCCACTCTGCTATGAACGTTTCCTCAATGGATCAGCCTGTTAGCACTTGCCCCCTGCTGGGCATGGGAAGCAACTTAAAAGTGTGAGTTTTTTTCTCATGCATAATTTAAAATCCTCATGGCTGTTTTTTTTATCCTCTTGTTTGTAAACAGATACAACCTTCAAGTCTATTCCACATTCTATTAAAACCTCCATGCATCTGCATAAAACCACAAACAGCCTTAAAAAAACACATCTAGTTGTTTGTACTCAACATTTGGGGACAGTTGTGATTCTAAACAATGTTTGTTTGTTTGTTTACCCAGAATGCTGATGGGAAGCTGACCCTACAGGAGTTCCAAGAGGGATCAAAGGCAGATCCCTCGATTGTACAAGCTCTGTCACTCTATGATGGCCTGGTATAGTAGCAGCTTGCCTTAAGGATACAGGTATGCTGTGCTGAATAGAAATGTATTCTACATTCAGGCATCAGTTAAGCCAGTAATTGGTTGAATGACACTATCGTTGTTATTTATGTGTTTCTGGCATCAAGGTCAGCTGTGCGTCCATTTAATGGCCTTATCTTACCTCATGGAATTCATATTGCCACCTCTTTTGTACATAAAAACCTACAAGAACAGCATTGAGGCAGATGTTGTATATCTTTCAGAGTTTAATTTAATTCCTGAATTTAAACTGAATTCGAGTTGAGGTAACAAAAGGCATGCACAATTATAATCGGGAATTAACTAGAATACAAATTCAAATGAAATCAAAATTAAGAAATGTTTTTAATTAATATTATATTTATATCTTTATGCCATACTTAACTCGTACAGAATTATATATTATATTAATTATATTATATTATGTACATTTAGACTTATAATATTGGTTCATTGAATACATAACATAATTTAATTTTGTTATTATTTTATATTTATTAGGATTAAATGGACCTATATAATGATTAGATTCTAAATTAAAAATCTGTGTATTTTGTGGTGCTTTATGCAAAAATTTTAATTGTTTTGACACTATTGAAATTTTAGAAAGAAGAGATATTAAGAAGAATATGCAGTATGTCTTATAAATTGAGAAAAAATTTATATAAATGGAAATAAATCATCAATGATGTAATTATTGATTCTTTATTTGAAATTTCTGTATTGTGGTTAGTTTTTTAGAATTGCAATTAAGTAAATTCCTCTTCCTTTAAAATTCCATTTTGAACATCCTGTTGTTCAATGGGACCAATTCAATTCAAATACCAGCTCATAAACAGACACTGAGCCATTTCTCTAATAAAATTACCCAACCTGGTGTGAGCATTTTTTCATGGTTGTTGCACAGGTACTGCAAAGGAGCCAGTGTGGTACCATCCCACAATGCCATGCAAGGAGATGTGTCTTCTTCATTTGAACTCTCATTCTGGACTCTTAAGACTGAGAATTACAGGAGAGAAGAGTTCATCCTTATCTTCTCACAACAACAATGACAGAAAAGAAGAAACTGTCAATCTGAAACGTGTGTGTGTGTGTGTGTGTGTGTGTGAATGCTATACTGCAGGTTTCCATGGGATTTCCACAATGCTTGTTTTCTGCTGAACAAACACACTGGAGACGGATGGATGGCACTGATTGTTATAGAAAAGCATGCTGACGAACCTAAATTATAGATGTAAATATGTGTAAACATTTCAGATTTTTTAATCATACTTCGCTACGTGGCACTTCATGTATAATTTAAGAAACTGCTAATATTTTATTTATTTCTTGTTTACCTTGAAGTGTATGGATTGCAGTTGTTACAAGCCTCAACATTTTTAAAAGCCTCTTGGAATGAAAGACTTTAATCCTTTTTGCTTTTTCTTTGGAACTATTAATGTGAAAGGGATTCATTTATTATATTTGCGTTATGCAGCTCCCATTGTAAAGACTGTGCTGCTCATCCATTGCTGGCAAAACCCTTTGCGAAGTCCTCAAGCTACTTCCTAAGCAAGGCACTGTAACCAAGCAACATGCTACACTGTTATTCCTGTACAGTTGCACCTCAGAACTGATGTAAGTACCTCTATAATGGAGAAGCAAACAGTCCTGCATCTGCTAGTTTAAACTACACCTCTGTCTTTGTCTTTTCCTGTGTCGTTTCCCTGTCAAACAAAGCCATAGACTTGAACCATGACATTCTCCTCTCAAAGCAAGTAATTCGGTATGTGCTGGGCGGGTTTGAGTGGGACTCATGCTTTTATCAGTCGCTCCCTGGCTGATGATTAAATTTGAGTCACTGCATAATTGCCTCTAATTTTATTTGCTGATGTTTTTAATATCTGATGTTTCCCTTTTGATATTTTTCAACAATGTCTGCTTCCATTTTCATCACTGTATGGTATGTGTAGAATTGCTGTGCTCACAATCGGACAGTATTCCAACGGTGCATAGACCTTGTATTCCATCAGCACAATGGATTCGCTGGCACTCTTTCAAAAGAATTTGCTTTTCCCTGATGTAATTAAGTCTGTCACCCAAAAGTGAAGCGTAAATCAAATTCACCATACAAAACACATAAAATAGAGTCTCTGCATATACCACCAGTCTTAGAGAATCGAATCACAAAAGCATTGCACTTGCTCAATTACTTCTATACTGGTACAGTTATATGACATTTAATACACTGACTTGCATTTCACATATTGTTTTGTTGCAGCCTTATGCTAAGCAGCTTTAAATTACTTTATTTTCACATCAGTCTACACTATAATGACAAAGCAAAAAACAGATTTGTGACAACTTTTCAAATTTATTAAAAAGGAAAAACTAAAATAATGACATTGCATAAGTATTTGCACCCTTAACTTAACTTAGTTGCAGCACCTTTACAGCCTCAAGTATTTTTTAGGTATGATGTGACAAGCTTTGCTCATCTGCATTTGGGGATTTTCTGCCATCATTCTATGCAGATCCTCTCAAGCCCTCTCAGGTTGGATGGGGAACGTCGGTGGACAGCCATTTTCAGGTTTCTCCAGAGATGTTTGATTGGCTTCAAGCCCAGGCTCTGTCCATAAGCCACTCTTGGATTGTCTTAGCTGTGTCCTTAGGGTCATTGTCCATTTGGAAGTTGGACCCTCTGCCCAGTCCGAGGTTCTGAATGCTCTGGACTAGGTTTTCATTAAGGATATACTGTATATTTTGCTGCGTTGAGACTTCCCTTCTACCCTGATGAGTCCCCCAGTCCCTGCCACTAAAAACACCCCCACAGCATGATGCTTCCACCACCACGCTTTATCGTTGGGATAGTATTGGTGCTGGTGATGAGCAGTGCCTGGTTTCATCCAGACATGATACTTGGAACTGAGGTTCATCACAATTTTTTTTTTTTTTTTTTTTTGCAAATTCCAAGTGGGTTTTCATGTGTCTACACTGAGGCGAGGCTTGAGCTTGGCCACTCTGCCATAAAGCCCAGATCGGTAGAGTGTTGCAGTGATGTTTGTCCTTCTGTTAGTTTCTCCAATCTCCATATATGATCATAAATCTCCACCAAAGCGACCATCAGCTTCTTGGTCACCATTCTAACCAAAACCCTTCTCCATCGAATGCTCAGTTTGGCCAGAAGGCCAGCTCTAGGAAGACTCCTTGTTTCAAACTTCTTCCATTAAGAATTATCGAGGTTACATGCTTCTGTGAACCTTCAATGAAAAAGAAGTCTTCGTTTTGTAGTCTTCCCCAGATCTGTGTCTCGTCACAATCCTGTCTCTGAGCTCTACAGGCAGTTCTTTTGACCTCATGGCTTGGTTTTTGCTCAGATATGCATTTTCAGCTGTTAGACTTTTTTCAGAGGTGTGTGCCTTTCCAAATCATGTCCATTTAATTAAATTAATTGAAACATCCTAAAGATGATCCTGCGAAATTGGAATACTCCTGATCTAAATGTAAGCATACTTATGCATTTTTTTCCATTTTTTATTTAATAAATTTGCCAAGTTAACAAATCTTTTTTTGTGTGCTTTAAATTATGGTGTATAGAGTAAAGATTGATGTGAAAAAAAAGTTATTTAAAGCAGTTTAGCATAAGGCAGCAACAAAACAAATGTGAAAATAATGAAGGTATGTGAATACTTTTGCAAGGTACTATTAAAATGGCTTAAAACATGTTTAATCACTAGAGCAATTTAAAAAAAAAAATTATTCTATTGACAACCACACATTTTTACAGAAAGGAAAAATAACTACATTGCGTTTTGTAGAAAAAAAAATTCATCCATCACGTCACACTCACAGAAGGGAACAGACAGATGGTAATGTGAAAACCGGTGTTTGAGCAGAGTGATGGGACAACAGCGAGAACTTCATGCACGTGATCAAGGAACTCTTCTACATAGTCCTCGATCGGCCGACCATCTTGAAAGCAGGTGAGAAGTTAGTTAACTGTGTAACCTGGGCCCAAGAGTGTTTGCCCACTGAAGCTAAGCAGGGCTGAGCCTGGTTAGTACCTGGATGGGAGACCTCCTGAGAAAATCAGGTTGCTGCTGGAAGAGGCGTTAGTGAGGCTAGCAGGGGGCGCTCACCCTGTGGTCTGTGTGGGTCCTAACATCCCAGTGTAGTGACGGGGACACTCAAAAGAGCACCGTCCTTCGGATGAGACGTAAAACCGAGGTCTTGACTGAGTGCAGGTGGGGACCAGAAGGGATGCTGGGAAGTGTAGTGCAGACAGGTTAAAGAGTTGGTGACTGTGACATAACACAGTATAATGGGTTGTATATATAAAATATACAGCTGTTTTTGGGGGGTCCTTGTCATCAAAAAGTGAAAAAAACCTTTAAGATATAGCATCATTTTAATGATGACTGGAGTTTCTTTCCTTTTTGGGATGGATGGCACCACTGTCTTGAAACAATTCATAAACCCACACACAGGTTTAGGTATCAGCAAAGTCTTGTGATGGCTTGTTTTTGCCTCTTGAAAGTTTGTTTCAACAGGCTAGCCCTGTTGTAATTGAGCCCTCATTGTGCATCTATGGCACGTCTTCCATTTCATTATGAGGTTCTCAAGGCCGGTGGCCCAGTCAACGCGCCATCTGGAGTTTCTGAATCAGCAATAACTAGATGGGTTCGCGTTGACTAAAGTAAGACAGACCTCACGCTCAGCTCCCAAGCTTAGTTTCCAGATACAGCACTAAAACAAAACAGACTTCACACCCTAGTCACACGGGAAAGCTAGAGAATAACAGAGAGTAGAGGAGGACAGGAATGTATGTTTTGCACAGACACAAATTGTTACATGAAGGGTCATAAACATGTTTTTTGCAGTGAAGTCTGGATTATTTATCCCACATTGTTAAGTGCAACGGGGTGATGAACCAGCTGTTTGGAAAAATGAGAAGACTTGGACGGAAGCAGGCAAACAGTGTGTTAGACAGAGTATTTCATTTTAACAGACACAATGTTTTTCTAATGGTAAACTGAAAATATGATGACTTTTCTTGTCTTTCGATTAACATTTTTGCCCTCAGTAATACAATATTTAACCGCTGTAAAGTAAAAGGGATAGTTCACCCACAATGTATAATTTACTCACCCTTATGTCATTACAAACCTGACTTTCTTTCTTTCTGGAAAAGAAAACAAGACATTTTGAAGGATGTTTCAACTTTGTTGATAGTATAATGAAAGTCAGTGGTAGTGTCCAAACAAAACAACATTGGACCCCATTGACTTTCCTTGTATTGACAGAAACCATAAAGGCATTTTTTCAAAATATCTTCTTTTGCTTTCCACAGAAGAAATAAAGTCATACAGGTTTGGAATAAGATGAATTTGAGTAAATGGTAACGGAATTTTATTTTTTGTTAGAAGTATCCCTTCAGAAAATACTAGGTAAAGACTTCTCCAATGGCCAAACTTTTTTAAACGACATGTCCATCCTAAAGATGAAATCATTTCCTAAGTTAAGTGTCTTTGAATGGCAGTGTGTCATTTGGCAAGGCGCTTTGGGTGAGTCTTGATCATTTAACCAACCATGTGCTGACCTGAAAGCAAATGCCTTGTTGGTTTTAGATCGAATTATCACAAAAACAACATCTGTATACTGTCATAAACCCTATGCTATTAGTTTTTTGCTGTGATTCCAGAAAAATATAATGGCTACCATGTAAATAGAACTAGCTGCTAAATTTTGGAGGTTACAGGGTCATTGACATCCCCACTTTCCTTCCTTTTTTGTGATGTTCTGTTATCAACTTGACAGCATTTGCTGCCCCGATATCAAGTTAAAGCAACAATAAATGCTTGATGACCAAATGTTGCATGAGGTGTGATTGATGTATCTGAGAATTACTGATAGCAACAAAATTTATCCGGATATACAAAGGGGTGAAGGCGTATCCGGAGTCTTTCCTTTCAAAAAGCATCTGGGATGCCTCTACTGGAGCCTTGTCATTTATGCCGCACATTAAACTGAGTCCAGAGAATTTCATGTATATTATTAGATGTGT